TATAAAATTAAACATATATTATTAATAAAATACAATATTTTAGTTGTAAAACGTTTTGAAATTAGTGAAAAAATAAGCATTTTCCGTTTTCCATTGATTTCTATAGTGAAAAACACAAGTTCTACCCAAATTATAGAGTTATCTCTCTTTGTTTTTCAAAGAAGTAATGTTTTATGAAAATTCATATAAATATCTATATAAATATGAAAAATCATTCAAATATGTTAACTTCTGAAAATTGACTTGGAGGTAGGCGGGAGAACAATGCTATCGTTAGCAGTTCTTTAAACAAGTCAATGCTGTATTTTTATTAGATAATATCTTTATAGTTTAAAACACGCGGTCACATTACTCTCCTGCATTAGAAGTAAACAGTTATTTTTTTTTTTTTTGCTACCGATTGCAATATAGTAAACGTCCGTCTACAACGGTGAAGATTGATTACACTGAACAGCGACTAAATGAGCGGCTCTATATATAGGGACCCTCAGATAGAGAGAGTCCAATCGAATATAGCGATTAAATTTCTTTGACGAATCGTGTTCAGCTTTAAGTTGCAGGTTTGTCTTCTGAGCATGTGAAAACTCCGCCCACTGTAGCTATAATCCTGTCAAGAATGGGGGTATAATGAGGAATTGTAGACATTAACATGGACTGTGAAACAGTGCTAGAGAAAGGTGTATCCGTAAAGAAATGTCTAGGTACCGGATTGTCTTTGTATATAGGGAGTTAACAAAAAACGTACTGAAAATTCAATAGGTTTTTCTTGTCTGTGTATATATCTGGTGAAATATATGAAGATAACGAACAGTATTCAGGCTCAAAAGTCCATCAAACAATACAAAGTAGGAGTAGAGCAAACACGGACCTCCAAACATCAGAGGTGGGATCAGGTGCCATGGAGGAGTGAGCATCCCCTGCCGACCGGTCACACCCGCCGTGTGCTCCTTGTCACGATCGGGAAATAATGGAAAAATCCGTCGACAATTCAGTGTGTAAATAATGTATGAAATAATGTATGAAAAACATCAGTCAGTATTTGACTCAATGATAAATTGTATTTGCTGACAAGGTCATTGTATCGACCATAGAACTTACGAAATGATGACTTTAAACGAGACAGCTGATATTCTTGTTTCATCAACTTGTTTGTCAATAATACACCTCGTTTTAGAAATTGTACATACATAGAGCATGCTCTTGCGTATCGAATCAACTGAGAGATATATACCCCGTATGCAGGTGATGAAGGTATATTGCTGCATAAGTAAGGGAAGTTGACGATTGAAAAGTTGAAGTCATCACGTTTATCATAAAGCTTGGTTGTTAGATTACCATTAACGTCTTTTTCAAGTAAAATATCCAAATATGAAACAGATGTGTCGGACTCTGTGGTATCTTTTATCTCAAGCTCACAAGAATATATCGTATCGACATAAGAATGGAAATAGCCATTGTTAATTGACAATACGTCGTCGATATATCTAAATGTCGAGTTGAAGGCCACAGCAAGTGTTTTCTTCTTTTGGACAAATTCTGCTTCATATGAATACAAAAAAAGGTTTGCTAACAACGAGGCGCAATTGGTACCCATAGGTATTCCAATATATTGTTGGAAGACCTGGTCTCCAAAAACCACATAGTTATTGTCAATCAGAAACTCAAGCATCTTTTTAATGTCAACTTCAGAGTACTTGTGTGTACAATCAGAATGTTTTTTAACAAACTAATTTTGCAAATGACCAATGACAAGGTAAGTAAATTTACGAGTTCCATTTTTATTGAAAAAGCAACTGTCAATGATATCAAAAAGCCTAGACTTTAATTTATCGTGCGGAATGGTTGTGTATAAAGTTGAAAAGTCGTAATTTTTTAAGCTGTTGATTTTGGTGAAATTTTGTGATTTCAAATTTTCTAAAAGTCCCTTGGAATTTTGAAGTATCCACATCTGATTTACACCACTTCTCGAATATATCGTTGCACAGTACTCTTGAAGTTTTTCCTTCACTACTGTTAATATCTTGAAGTAAAAAAAGAGGCTTGGTTGAACATTTACTGAAACCCGCTATGCATCTTTGTTTGTAAGGATTTTTATGAAGTTTCGGAATCCTATATAAATATGGTAATTCAAATTCATTTTGGTTGTTTGGAATATTAAAAATACTCAAAACTGACATATGATTTTGAAGAATTTCTTCCTTGGAAAGTGAACTATGAGTATAAGTTGGATTACCACTTGTAGAATTAAATCCAAGTTCCTCTAAAATACATTTAACAAACAAAGACAATGTCGTTACCTGCTTTGTCAGCAGGGACCAGTACGTACTGATCATGTAATCTATCTAATTCTTTTTTCACTTCTTTTTTCACTTCTGAATTATTGAATACAGAAGGATAGATGGTTCTCATATTGCCTCTCAATCTTTCTAACATACATCTGATACATTTAATCCATTCTGACAAAGTGTCAAGGTCTTCTTTTTCATGTCTGGCCCATCGCCTGGCCTAGTCTTCTACAGAGTCCATAATATTTATGAAATTCCGACGCCAGTTGAAGGATCGGGGTTCCCGACACATGGATTTATTTTGTTTTATTTTTGTTGTATCTCAGTCTCTTTAATGCTTCCACAAGTCCACTTTTTTGTATGGACCAAAATAGAATTGGCATGGGAAATACAACTTTGCTTCTTTTTCTTCATCTTCTCTTGGTCTGTACTTTGGTACTATCATGCCAGATTCCTCCTTGATTACTTCGCAATTATGTTCATAATTTCCCCGATTCACAATTTTAGTCCAAAAGCCGTTTCCTTTGACGTTCTGTACTATCATCTGAATCACTGATATAATCATCCTGTTTTTCTTCCTTTGGTTCCTAATCTCTCTCTAAATAATCACTTTCATCATTCCTTGTCAAAACTGCACTAACAGTGTTGCAATTTCATTTTGGATGAAGATCTACCTTTAAAACATAGTACAAAATCAAAAGCCTGAATTGCTTCAACAGCATCACACATGAAAAACAAGAAGTCTGTGAGCCAATGCTCTCAGGTAATACCCCTGCTATGAATATACGCTCTCATGAATCCCGCCATATGGCATGCCTAAAAATTAACTATGTCCCATTCGAGAAGTTTTCCCTCATATACACAGAGAGTCACCAAATACAGGTGAAGGGCTTCAAATTTTGACCTTTACTCGGCACTCAGGGCCATTTAGCAGTGAGGATTCTTTATCGTGCCAACGCCTGCAGTGACACGGGGCCTCGGTTTTTAAGGTCTCATCCGAAAGACCCACAACTTTCACTTCAAAGTGCCGAGCGCTTGGCGAAGGAACAGTTGCTACCTGTTTTTTATGTACTCAGGTTAGTCGCGGCCGTGATCCGAAACACGACCTTCCGATCACGGAGGCATGCCTAAACAAAAATTCTGCTAAAATCTTAAGCATCAGCAATGAATAGTGGCTGAGAAAACTGTGACGGAAATTTGGTATATACAGACACACGTATAATCAGAAATTAGACATCGGATTAGTTAAAAAAACGAGAATTATGTCCATAGGACATGAATGCCCCTCAAGGTATAATGCAACATGAAAATTTGTATTCGTATATGATGTTATCTGAAACAGTTTCTATTGAATTGCAATCTGATCATAAATTCTCACCAAATAATGTATTGGAATCTGATCATAAATTCTCACCAAATAGTGCATACGCTTACATTTAAATATGTAATATAAATGTATTCTTCAAAGCAGTGGTCAAGGTCACAGGAAAGTTCAAGGTCAGGTTTTGATGCAGTTCAATAGCTCTCACTAATATGTATCAGCATAATAATTTAGATGAGAACATCTTAATTGGTTTCTTCAGAACTAAGCTCAACATTAATCTAAGAAAAGTGAGGTCAAGGTTAAAGGAAAGGTAAAGGTCCAAATTTTGATGCTGTGGAAACGCTGACATGAAAATGTGTAAGAATAGAAGGTTTGTAAGAAACGATATATGAAGTTTGATTACACCATCTTGAATGGTTTATTTAAAACTGAGCTAAACACTGATCTAAGAAAAGCGAGATCAATGCCAAAGGAAAGATGAAGGTAAAAAAATGAGTAGTTGAATAGCTTACATCAGTACGTAGCTTCACAAAAAACTATTTTGAAACCTTAGTCAGGTACGGTGTGTTTTTCAAAACAGAGTCGCCCGCGTGGCGCAGTGGTTAGAGCGCCTGCTCTAGAGTCGCGAGGTAAGGAGTTGATCCTTACGTCGCGGGTTCGAATCCCACTGTGGGACGTGGAGACCGGTCCTTCGGATGAGACCGTATAAACTGAGGTCCCGTGTCGCAGTAGGTGCTGGCGCGAAAAATTTACATCAGGATGCTTCCATATAAGTTTCCGCCCTTCTGGCCCAGTGGTTCTTGATAAGAAGAATTTTAAAGATTTTTTCTACATATTTCAATGGAGAACTTGGATTCCCTATTGTGGTCCCGCCCTACCCTCGGGGGTTATGATCTGACCAATTTAGAAGCACTACCCCAGGATGCTTCCACATAAGTTTCAGCTTTTCTGGCTCAGTGGTTCTTCAGATTTTTTAATGACCCCACCCCATTTTTGTCTTTTCTTGATTATCTCCCCTTTGAAGGGGTCTTGGCCGTTCATTTTAAATGTTATAAACTCCCCTTCACCCAAGGATGCTTTGTACCAAATTTGGTTAAAATTGGCCCAGTGGTTGATGAGAAGTAGTTGAAAATGTGAAAAGTTTACAGACACACGGACGACGGTGATCAGAAAAGCTCACTTGAGCTTTTAGCTCAGGTAAGCTAAAAATGTTGTTTATTTTAAAGTTTACAAAAGGGAAGGCACAGAATTTTCATTTGTTGAATCTCATTCATCGCTGATTTGTTGAATCTCATTCATCGCAGTTATTTATACAAGTATATTATTTACTGAAAGTACCTGATGCCCTGGTCCGAGATGGTGTTACAGAGGATATAAAATCTCTGGCCCTTTTATGAGTTTTTGTTCTCTGAAGGGCCCTTAATGGGTTTTTGTTCTCTCAAGGGTCTAGGCTGGTGATGGCGGGATGGGTAAGAGTGGCAGTGGTGGCAAATCTGTCACTCTTTTCTTTTTTTTCCTTTGGTGTTCTCAAGTTTCCTTCATAATCACTTTCTCTGTCAGTGTCACTATCATATTTTGGATTTGGTCTTTAAAGAGAAAATTATTAGTCAAATAAATTTATAAAAAAAAAATTATGACATGCAAAAACAATGACATTGAATAATAATCAGATAATAATTTATGTTTTATTCATAAAAGGTCAGGCAATCCTGCATAAGGCTCACATGAAAACAACATAAAATTATGTATCTTTTTGTTCTTTTTGCTGTGATTTCCCCATCCTCAGCCTTTGTCTGTAAATCTGACTTAGACTCAGCCTCCTTCTCGCGTCCCTTCTCATAGTCCTCTAAAATGCACCATTTAACCATTATAATTATGCTAATTATGATGAGAATTTGTTTTCCTAGCAAGGTATTGAAGTGTATTAGTTCTAATTCATCCAACACTAGTAACATCTATTTTTTATTTAATAATTAACATCTAACTTACTGGTCTGGTATAAAGTTTTCACTGTAAACTTCTTGAAGTCAGTTGAGTTTGGAAATTTACACTGCCGCACTGCCATTTTCTGTTTGGTATTGCTCTTAAAATTTGGCCAGAAACACTCCTTCTGGTCTTTCGTAATCCATGTCATTGAAACCAGCTCATCTTCATTGGTGTCTTTGAATTCAACAATTGCAAATTTTCTCCTGGAATAAAATAATAAAATTTTCAGTATTTATTAACAAAAACATTTAATAAATTAATGTTCACAGTCGAGCATGTACATGTATGCATACCATTTTTAACCATACACTGTGGAAAAGTGGAAAGGCTACTTTGTGGGTATTTTGAACATTTTGCCTCAATGTCTTCTAGCTTTGCTTTTCTTATGTGACTCCAAGTGCTGACACATCCTTTATTCCTAAGAGTCATAGAGGGTAAATGGACTTTAAAAAATCACACCCTTGTCTACATTTATTATAAAGAAGAGTTATTCCTTCTTCATTTTGAATGTTATTTTGTTCAATGCATATTCCCCCTCCAATTTGCACATAAGAATCCTTTTTATTTAGGCATATTGTGAAGTTCCCTGTCTTGATCTTTTGGTATTGTCTTGCCCCCAAAATTCGGGTAAAAGAGGAGTAGTAAATATGTGTGTTTTTCGCGCTCGGTTTATACGCCCGGTTTTTGGTAAGAACATATAACAAAACGATTATACACCCAGTTTTTGGTAAGGATATATAACAAAACGATTATACACCCAGTTTTTGGTAAGGATATATAACAAAACGATAATACGCCCAGTTTTTGGTAAGGATATATAACAAAACGATTATACACCCGGTTTCTGGTAAGGATATATAACAAAACGATTATACACCCGGTTTCTGGTAAGGATATATAACAAAACGATTATACACCCGGTTTCTGGTAAGAATATATAAGTAAACGATTTCACGCCCAATTTTGGAGAGAATATACAGTCATTAAACGTGGATTAACAAACGTTATCGATTTTGGTAAGAACACAGCAGGGTCCAATAGTTAAGAGGTAGGGTATTCATGTCCACAGTATAAGGGGTTTTCAATAAATAAGTAGACATTAATAAATACAGTTATTGGTTTAATACCTTGCGGGATGCATTTTTTCTTTATTAATGATTCTAGACATGTAAGAGATCGTGGGAAATCGGAGAATATTGATCACTAGTTCAGGGACACTTGGGATACAATATGAATCTAGACTTCTAAGAGCTCGTGAGAAAACAGAGAACATTGATCAATAGTTCAGGGACACGATAATGTGTTTTACATGTACATTGAGTAAAGATTGCTGTTACAGTTATCAAGCGTTTCATGTAATGAAAAGTTTCGTAATATATTTTATTTTTAATATTTATTTTGAGAATTCAAATTTACCGCGCAAAGTATAGTGAACCTCTTTTAAAGGACTTATCGCATGATTTTTCAAAAATCTTAATTTTATGAAAAATATTATCTACAACGTTGTTTATTAAAATTCTGAATACAATAAACGTTGTTGAAAGCGTATTTTAAGAGATATTGAGAGTTGAAAATCAAATACGGCAATATACATATTTCAGTCGGATTTCGGCGAAATACTGCTCTGACGTCATAGGCGACAATTCAGTGATAGAGAGATGAGAAGTTGTACACTATTTACGGAGTTATCAATGACAAATGCAGCTTAATTATGAAAAATGCTGAAAAAAATTAATTCCTAACGTGATTTTCAATTACAATAGAAACATTAACTAGTTCTAAGGTGTAAGAATTTTGAGATATTTTCGTTTTTTATTCGAAACATTTAGAATCTGTAGGTCTGATTACGGCAATGTTTCGTGATCGAAAAATTATTTTTCAAGACCGCCATCCTTCACAAAACATATGAAGGCATACTCGCAAAAGTTAATATTATGTTAAAAACGAAGAATAACAAAGTTATGTAATTTAAATTTGTGAATCAAATAAGTTCATACATGTGATAAAATGACAAATCAAATTGTGTTGTTACGGGGAGTTTCTTCGTCTTCGCCGCGTCTCTCTCGCTATCGTCGCTGCTATTTTTACAATGTAAACGGATTTTTCAGATTTTTTCTTGCTGACAATTCTAAAATATAAGGTTGGATATTAAATTTCATATCGATAAAATTAGTGATTTGGTCATCCATAACGCAGAAAATTCAGGTTGTATCGCGTATATTTTAGTAAGATTTACGTGAAGAGCTAATCAGCCATTGTCGCCTTTGACGTCACAGGGTCACGTGATCGCTATCTAATTAACTTAGATTTTTAATTCAGGGGTTTTCATTTGAGTCAATAATTGGTTAATTACCGCGGTTTATCCGCATTAAAAACACAAAATTTATAAACTGTGGTCATAAGGAACGTTTTACGCTTTTAATTTCAAATAGTTTAGAAACATGCGATAAGTCCTTTAAACTCTTCAGCGAGAGAAGATAAAATCGTTATCTAAGAAACATTTGTAAGATACTTTCACTTAGTTTTCAGTGAAACAGTCACTGTAGCAGTGTGGATATCTAAATTCGTACATTTTATATTTATTAGCGTTATGCATTGTTGTTAGCAGTGATTGTCAAATACATCAGGTCTTTTTCAATCAAGTGTTACTACGGGATGTCTCAAAATTCTCGACGAGGTATTCATTAAGATTGAAGTACCAGTGTCCCGTTGGATTACTAGGACAAAGCTCCTTTCATCATGAATATAACTGAGCATGAGTTGTGATATAAGAGATGTGCGAGCCGTTAAACTACCTTGTCAATAAGTCCCATTTCAAAGCAAACGATCAGCATGTGTCCAATTTTAAATGGTCATCCAAAAGTCGTAGCCACTATATATATTGAAGTCCGAGAATTGGGTGTCACAGAATGAAGGATTAAGATCCATGGATTGGACAGAGGATTTTAATGTTGATCCTCCAGCAGAGGTTCTGGAAAAAATTCTCCGTCTGGAGAAAGCACACATTGCCCGAGAGGTAAATAAAAACTTCTTTTTTTTAAATCTTGGTAGAATATTCTTTTTGTTCTGAGAATCATTTACCAGTTCAGTAATAAGAATTAATGACGACTTATTAAATGATATCAAGATTGTAAGACAATAATAAGTCAGTATCTAACGTGTATGATAGTTTCTCATTCTATACTCAAGTGAAAAATGAAAGTTAAAATTTTAATTATTACCAGTTTAGAAATGGAAAAAGAAAAGAGAAGAGAGAGTGAAAGATGGACATAACAAAGAAGATGTGGTTGGTGACTTTTTTTTTAATCATTAAAAAAAAAAATCTTCAAACATTGAGGAAAGAAAAAAAAATCGGAAAACTTTAGTTTTGTCAAATCAAGAAAGTATTTTACGTAGAAAATGAATGTAAACGAGAGAAAAAACTTAAAGAATTATTTTTGAATAAAGAAAACTGTGACTTTTTTTTAATGAATGATTTTTTGTTGCGTATTTAAATAATAAAAAAAAAAGAAGAAGCGTTATGAGATTGATTATAAATATTGAATTTACTTACACATTATTTTGTCATCTGACATATTCTTTATAGAATAAAAAAAAGTTTTTTATTACGTCATAGGAAAGTGAAGAAAACAAAAACACGGTTTTGCAGGAAGAAGATAATGAAATGGAGGGGAGAGAGCAGGAAAACCCGGTATTTATTATATATACATTATAATTTTTTTTAATTAGTATTATTATTATTAGGGTCTTCCGTCTTCAGCGGAAGACCCTTCTATTATTCTTCGGTTTCTTTTTTACCTTTATTAGGGTCTTCCGAGCTACCTTCGGAAGACCCTACTGTTATTCTACTGTTTCTTATTATTATTTTATTTTTTTTTCCCGCCGATTTTCAGCAGGCGATTTCTCGGAGACCTTTTGTCCGATTGCTATGAAACTTTCAGGGTAGATACAATGTATTACTGCCTAAAAACGGTTTTTTCAAATTTTTGATATATACCTCCGTTCATGAGTTATTGCCCTTTAATCGATATTTGGAGGGTCTCTTGTCCAGTAGAAATATCAATAACGACACATGATATTTGCATGAAAACTGGAGAACTTGTAACTAATACATTGCAGATGCGCAGAACATTAAAATTGTAGGCTAATTTTTTTAAGTTTGGAAGCTATGTGACGGCAAGTTTTAGGAATTATTTTTCCATGAAATTTTGCTGCTTTTTGTTTAATAACTTTTAAACTGATAAAAATTTGGTAAGACATATAGAATGAAAGTTGTGTGTAATTACGAGAGCTTTCAGATAACAACAAGAAAAAGGGGCTGGTTCCTATATTCAGGGGACAGCAGGTCATAAAAGTATTTTTTGGATAGCTAAAAATATTAAAACATTATGAAAAAGTTTGAATGACATAATTTCTAACATATTAAATCTTGTCATGTGGTATAAAGAGAAACAAGCTCCGTGCTATATTTTATTCTATTTTATATAATGATTATTCGAGAATCGTACAGGAACAAGTTGTCTAAAAACCAGCCACGCCTTTTAGGGCATCGTAACACATGCTTGTACGGTTTTAGATAGTTGTTGTGTTTTAAATAAATTGTTTTGATTCGATTTCTCTGTTTTCTGTTATCTAAATCGTTTATAAATGCAAGTTATTTACACAAGTAAAGGTAAATCAACATTTACAAATGCATCCGTATAGAAAGAGTCCTAATCGGGGCCTCTTGTTTGTAACCTAGATGTAAACAATCACGAGCGGCATTGTGGGAAGAAGACACTAAAGACCCGATATACGGAAAACGTGATTTGATCTGATGCTTTGTTGGCAAATATTTTTAAAAAAGTGTAGTTTAGTATAGCATAATGCTTCATAATCAATAATTTTTAAAAAATAAATCATGTATAACACTCAATCTGATTATTTTATTTTTTGAAAAATCATCAGGTCGAATATCAGGTTCTTTAGTATATCAAGTCTTTAGTACGTCCCCGGAAGTAGCCATGCAAGTCGGAATTACAGAAAATATGTGAAGTTGACAGTTGTACATTTTCTTAACGTACGAGCCGTATGTAGAAATGCACGTTTAATCCACATCTACGAAGCACATAAAATCCTTGGTTGCGTACAGGGAGCATTAGTTTTAAAGGGATATATATATTCTTGTGCAAATTGTTGACGAGGAAATTCTGACGATCACATTAACAGCGATGAACAGTCTTGTGTCGGAGTTTTCTGTGATAAATGTAGCGAGTGATGAAAGAGTTCACGGTGACATTTTAATATATGATTGGCGTGGACCATGGAAATGAAGGTTAAAATTTTTCTTATCTAAAATTTAACAGCTGCTTACAGCACTGATGTTTACATGTATATGCCAGCAAATGTATAAATGTACGCACAAACACTGAAGTATGTTATCTATTTTATGGTTCAGTCTCTGTCTGTTAGCCCTGACATGACATTGTCAAATCCCCATTGCTTTTTCTTATTTAAATGCATGAGAGCATGTAATTTCACCAATTTATTTTGAATACTGAATTTCATTTCATTTGAATAAAAACTTTATCATATTTTTCTTAAAACTAGACAACTACTTAATAAAATAAAATTTGTAAAGTAATAAACTGGGAGAAGGTATTTTTTTCCTGAATTTAGGGGGTTGGATGGTCTTTAGCGATTTGAAAGAAATGTCGATAAAAAAATCTCCAGCTTTGAGACCCAAACTCCAGCTGAAAAATTTCAAATCTCCAGTTGTGGTTTTTCAGTTCTGTCACATGTATGGAAGCCACTACAAAATACATGTATGTCAAACAAAAAAAGAAAGTAAAAGATATAACAAAACATTTATTGACCATGTTCTCGGGGTAAAATGCAATTTGCTGACCCCTTGAACCAAACTGTTTCCCTTCGGCCTAATGGCCTCAGACAAACAGTTTGGTTCTTGGGTCCGACAAAACACATGTTGCCCTCGAACCCAGTTAGTAAATGTGTATTATTATTGGAAAATCTCAAAAATGTCACTCAGTTACATTGCAAAAGAAATTTGGAAATATATTTATACATAAAAGTTTGAATTATTTCTGTGATAAGACTGCAGGATTGATTTGTGTTTTGTTTATTGCCCCTTCAAATTTTTTT